TTTTCTTCTACAAATTTCAATTACAGGGGAGATTAACTTGTAGCACTTTCAAACATAGTTAAACTAGTAAAAATATATATACATCCAAAATCTCTCCTTCTGGTTGTTTTTGTTCTTGGGTAAGTTAGAAAATAGTAAGTATTCTTTATTTTTTTTTAAAGTTTATTTTGATATAAAAATAGAAGTAACTTTAAAAAGAATTTCAATATTAAAACTTAAAAAGAGAGAGTTAAATATTTGTAAAAAAACAAATTTAAATTGAAATAAACGAGTGAACGAAATGAAAGCAAGAGACAAAAATCGCAGAGAGTTTTATCATCGAGGCCACCCGTGTTTTGAAAGTCTCCGTTTGAAGTATTGCGGCCATTCCTTCCTCAGTCTATTATTGTAAATTGCTTAAATAAATAATACTAAAAACATATAGTCAAAAGACAACTGTCTCCTTCCATCCCAGTCCAATATATCAGTCTATACATGTAAGTCACATTTTTTTTGACTTAATACATGCACCTCACATTTATTCATGCATACTTCATATGTACAAATGTAAATATAGTTTTGTTATTAAATAAGTAATCCAGTATTTTTAATATGATTTCCTTATTTTCTCAATAAGATTATTATTATTATTTTTAATTCTGATAAACAACCACTAATACAAAATTATGGTTGAAAAAAGCAAGTACATTTTTTCCATTTCAAATTATTCGAATTTAATTTTTTAAAAATATTGTTAAATTAGAACGTTAACGGGTAATGCATCTAAAAATTGTTCAAAAACAAATTTAGTATTAATGTGAAATGTAAAATTAACACCGTGTATTTTTAATGTTAACTTTTTCAAGAAATCACCATTCATGATTGGAAATCGGTGTATAGAATATTTCTTAAAAAATAACAAGTGATTTTTATTTATTTGTTTTATCTAGCTGGAAAGTTTCTAATTTTTTAATAGAAAAAATAAAATAATAATAATAATAATAATAATGGCAAATTAAAAAGAACAAAAAGAAAAAGTAGGAAGTAAGTTAAAGAGAGGAAGTCCAGCATATTTGAAAGAAACACTGGGCATCAACCTAATTATATTCCTTTTTTTTTTTTTTTTTTTTTTTTTCTTTTCCTCAGCTTCTAATTAACTTCCAAATACCGAGTAAATACACTCCATCATCAACCACAATCACCGGCAACGCCATTCCTTTTAAGCTCAGTCCTTTTACGGCAGCCACAAACGCCTACTCCATTTCCACTGCCAGTCCACCATTTTCCATATAACACGACCGAATTGTAATACAAAACCAACAATCAGATTATCCGACCACCGGCAATTCTCGCTGCTAGATCTGCACATCCTCATATTATTCAATCCCCACTCAAAGCCTCACCCAGATCCAGAAAAACTCCTTAAATCTTCTTTCTTCTACTTTCACCGTCGAAACTGACCGGAGGAGAGACATGGATTCTGAGCAACGGCGGAAAAGAAAGAGAAACTACAGACCATACTCGCGAGCACAGTACTTGTCAGTAAGGTCTCTAGTCTTGTGCTTGTCCTTCTTCGTGTTTCTCTTATTCTTGTCGTCGTCGGATCGGTTTTCAATTCCAATTCGAACGGTGTCGTTCAAGCCGGTTATTAGAGTGCCGGCTTTATCCGTTTTGTCCTTATCTTCGCTTGAAGATTCTTTGCGTGAGGGATTGTCACCTTTGAGAATACAAGATCGGGTACAGTTCCCTGATCATTTGTTATTGGTTGTATCGGGTAAAATTAACCAAAATGAAAAGGTGGATTGCCTTTATTACAGAATTCTAACTACTGGAGATAAGAGAAAAGATGTTGTAATCAAACCACTAATTTCAGTCGATAGTTACGATGGAGTTAGGTCCTTAGCTAGATGCCCTGTTGCGCCCATGAATTACTCGGCTGCTGTTGAACTGCGGAGGCATGGCGATTTTAGAGATTATATGTTGCCTTCGCGGCATAACCTCAGTGTTCATTCATGGGAGAAGCTGGTTTATGCTGCGGTGTTGGATGGGGACACTGCGGTTGTGTTTGTCAAAGGTTTGAATCTTCGGCCGCATAAAGAATCTAATCCCTCCTATTTCCGGTGTCAGTTTGGTTTAGGGAATTGGGAGAAAGATGAAGGATTTACCTTCATGACTCCAGCTGTTAGTGCTGCACAAGAAGTTGTTAGGTGTCAATTGCCAAGGAGTATAAGCAAAAACCCAGACAAGGCTCAGGGGATTCGAGTAACGGTAGTTCATAGCAACGTCCCTGAAAGAGCTCCATTCGATCATGAGCCAATGCCTTCTGTTTCTAAATCTTACAATTCCAGGTCTTATTGGCAGAGGAGAACACAGAGAAGATACAGAGAGCAGGTACCTATGCCTACTGTGGCTAGAATTTACAATTCCAAGTCATTTGAGAAGAAGAGGAATAATGGGAAGTACGAGCTCTGTGTGTGTACAATGTTGTGGAACCAGGCATCTTCTCTTAAAGAATGGATAATATATCATGCTTGGCTTGGGGTTGAACGCTGGTTCATCTATGATAACAATAGCGATGATGGGATTCAGGAAGTTGTTGAAGAACTTGAAATGCAAAACTATAATGTTAGCAGGCATAGCTGGCCCTGGATTAAAACTCAAGAAGCTGGATTTTCACATTGTGCTTTGAGGGCAAGAAATGAGTGCAAGTGGGTAGGATTCTTTGATGTTGATGAGTTCTTCTACTTCCCTCATGACCACTGGCCTGGTTTGCTTGGCCAAAATTCGCTGAGGACTCTGGTTGCAAATTTCTCATCTTCAAGGACAATTGCAGAGATTAGAACAGCTTGTCACAGCTTTGGCCCATCTGGGTTGAGCTCACCACCCTCAAAAGGAGTAACTGTTGGCTACACTTGCCGGCTTCAGAGTCCTGAAAGGCACAAGTCAATTGTGCGCCCGGATTTGCTAAACGATACCCTTCTCAATGTGGTGCACCACTTTCAGCTGAGGGAGGGATTTGAGTACCTAAACGTGCCTGAAAGCATAAGTATTATAAACCACTACAAGTATCAGGTCTGGGAGGCATTTAGAGCAAAGTTTTATAGAAGAGTTGCTACTTATGTTGTTGACTGGCAAGAACACCAAAACCAAGGATCAAAAGACAGAGCGCCTGGATTGGGAACTGAAGCCATTGAACCACCCAATTGGCGGCTACAGTTCTGTGAGGTCTGGGACACCGGTCTCAGGGACTTTATTTTGTCTAATTTTGGTGACCTGGCAACAGGATACCTACCTTGGGAGAGGGCTAAGCAGTAGATCATTCAAGTGTGCTTGCTACTTGGTCAATGTAACAGTCTACAGGGTAACCATACAAGGAGCCACATTCTTTTCATTGTATTATTTTTGGCCTTTTTTGGAATCTTATTTTTGCTTCCAAAAGATTTGCAATTAATTGATTACAGGGTTATTACACAGATGTAAATTGGTAACACCAAGAAATGATTCTTTCCCTTTCTGACGATTCAAGGTTTTTTTTTTTCCTTTGTACATTGTTCAATGCTGTGGATTTTCAAATTCTGTAAAGATGTTGTGAGCTGCAATACAGCTTCTAATGTTTGATGATAGATAATTCATAGTTTTATTTTTTTTGAAGAGCTGGCTCTTGGTGTAAGTAAATGGGATCAACCGCCTATTATTAGTGGGATGAAGTGTTATCAGAGCCAAAGGCTCTTAGCCTGTTTATTCATGGTTAGCATATGAAATTGACCTAGATTTAGTTGACAAGCTAAAATAACAGATCGTGATCACTAAATAACCATAGAGCTGCAGATTAGCAGATACAGTTGTAAATAAAATATGATGTCCCTTTGTCACCCAAGCTTTGTGATAGAACATGGCAATATTGTGAGATAGGGTATTGTTGGAGCCACAAGTAACATGTCTAATAAAAAGCTCCAGAACAAGATAAGCAAAGAAGTTAGGGTGGTTCGTACTTAATTGAAAGAATGCAAAATCAATAATTGCAAAACACTTTCTTTTCATCTTGGTCCTTTTTCCTTCTTGATTGAGAAGGGGACATGGTCACATAAACACGTTCATAGCAAAACTGTGTTACCTAAATTATTGACAAGCACATCAACGTACTTTAATTGAATGGAAAATGAGGGACATTTTCAACAGCAAAATAAGAAAGGTGATACAAGTTGACATACAAAATTGCAGATTGGTATTCTTTGAGATTCTACCTTTCTCAGTTCAAATTTTGCCACCAGAGAAACCTATTAAAAACATAAATTTAGTAAAAACCAGCTTCCTAAAATGAATTGTGTGAATTAATGTCTTGACATAGAAAAAAGTACATAGTTATCAAAAGGTGCAAAAAGAAAATTACAGAAACGAAATGAACTAAAAACGTATAACACAACTATATAACACAAGTATCCACACCTAGTTAGGGATCTAATAGTGAACGTTGATGATAGATGACCAACTCTGCCCGTGGAGAAGATTTACAACAATTAAGAGCGTACAGAAAGCACTAAGAAGGGATAGCTAAGGTCAAAGATAGTTATTTGAATGGGAAGAAGGATTTGTGCTGGTAACAACATAAAATTACTTTCCCCTAGTTCAGGATGAAAGGTTTGGGAGGAATTCCCTCTGTCAACCCTTATCGTGATAAAGTCAGGACGCAGAATATAGGAGGCTAGAATATAACCAGCGCTTGCAAGGAATCCAAGACTTCCAAGAACTCAAGAAAGCAATGGGCCAAGCTTGATCAAAACCTGTCATGAGAGACAGATCTTATTAAAATGGCCTAGCATAGTAAGAGATATTGAGGAAAAGTTCATTCAAACATGGAGTTCAAAAGTCAGGTTACTAATATAAAGGATAAGCACATAGTGATCCACAAAGAAAGAGAGATGGGCTGCAGTGTCATTTTGACCAGCATCAAATGAGACAAGAAGGTCAGCTCACCCAAGAAAGAGAGAATTGCCCAGCTAAGATGCCTCAAGCTTCAGCCTTTTCCACTTGAGAAGTTTCCAGTCTCAAAAATTGGTGGGTAGGAGAGATGGGAAGATGTTAAATTTATATTCAGTGAATAAACATTGAAAATCAACTGGTCAATAGTAAAAGCATACTTCCAGTCCTTACATTTCTATTCAAGCTAACAAAAGCAAGCAATGCTGTCATTCTAAGAATAACTCTTTGGAAGAATTTTTAATTTGAACAACAATTTAAGAACAGCTGCAAGATAGCCCTATGGACAATTCAAAAAAAAAAAAAACGAAGGAAGAAAGGCTTTATAAAATTTAATTGTGAGCAGTTGGAAACTGCAATATCCTCTGCCATACATCAGTGCCATGCTATCATGTAATCAGCCCTTTTTTTTCTTGAAAAGCTTGTCCTCAAGAGAACACATCTTAGAGATTGTTAAGAATGTTTAGGTCATGAAACCACTTCTCACAACGGAATAGAGGATTAGAATGCATTATCCCGCTATATAAAAGTAGTTATATGCAAATAATTTCCAACTTTAGAGGATAATATTTTTGTTCTTTTAAAAGAAAAATATGAAATTTTATTACTAAATGCAGTTAAGATAATAATAAAACATTACCTCGATGAAAGACCTCATAATGTGATATGCCGAAATGAGATCAATATACTCTACAATCTGGTCATGATTAGTTTCAAATTTTATCTTGCACCACAGAGGAATTAGTAATATACTTTTCTAGCGTTGCGTCCAGCTTCTCCCCAATTAATGTAATCCATGCCTGAAGAAAAATTGTTTTTAGAAAAAAGAAAAAGTTCCCTGCTTCAGCACAAGAATTATCAAAAAGAAATCAACCATCTAATCAACTGACAAGGTTCTGCCACCAATCAACAAGACATAACCAATAAGTAATAGAAATCTTTCATGCCACTAAGTATTACAATTGAATATAATCATTAGGTCAACCCGAAGTTAAATGGAAGCTCCTATAAAAATGAGTTGGATGGTTTTCTGCTTGGTAAGGGAATGACTAATTTCAACAGAAAAAGAAAAGGAAGGAGATACAAATGCATCCAGAGGAGACAAAGAGGCTTCACAAACTTGGAACAACAGAACCAATCAAAACTGGCTTGAAGAGTTAAGGCCTAAAACTTGGTGGATCTTTCTCTTCAGGAGCCAAAAAAGTGTGGATCTTGGTTATAATCAGGGTCCAAACTACTTCTACTAGTAGTAAATATCTACTACAGACAATAAATACAAGATCATGTGAGAAGAGAAGGAAGCTCATTATTCAAGCATCTCGTTTTGTCTCAATCTTTCTATTTTCTTTCTCATTTTCCTTGAGTGGGAAAGAGAATCTACCAAGGATATGGATAAAATTTCAGACCTCACTCATTCAAATCTTTGATTTTGCACCTACTCTTTTTATTTTGTTTCTCATTTTCCTTGAGGAGGGGAAAGAACTGTCAAGACCCAATTAATTATAGAGTTTGTTAGAAATAATTAGTTGAGTTGTTGGGATTAATGAAAATTAAGGAAGAATTAGTTTTGATTAATTTGTTTCAGCTATAAAAGGTAGGTTAAGAATTGATTTGTATCCAGAAAATATGAATGAAATTCAAATTTCTCTCCACAGTAATTCCTCTTTTCTCTTCGTCTTCCTTACTCTTTCTTCTCCCTAAATTCTAATTCTGCACTTATCTTCTTTTAAATTCTTTTCTGTTTCTGCTGCAATTCTTCTTCTACCTTTATTTCTTCACAAATCTGGACAGGTTCTTGACAAGAACCTATCAAGGATATGAACTAGTTTCAGATCTCAGTCACAGGCAATAAATACAAGATTATGGGAAAACTAATCATTAAAATCTTTGGTTCTATACCTATCTGTCTCTTATCTTTCTCCTGGATATGAATATAATTTCAGACCTCAATCACAGGCAATAAACACAAGTTCATATGTGAGAGTTCTTTGTTTTGGCATCTGTCTTTCTCTTTTCTTTCTCATTTTCCTTGAGGGGAAAAAACCAATCAAGGATATGAATGGAATTTCAGACCTCAATTGGGCAATAAATACAAGATTATGTGAGAGAACAGGGAAAACTAATTATTTAGATAATTGGTTTTGCACATATCTTTCACTTATCTTTCTCATGGCTATGAAAAAAATTTTAGACCTCAATTTAAATGATTAACTTATTCTCCCAAAAAAGATGGAAACTTAAAATAAAGAAGCACCTGGTCAGAATTTGTGAAACCCCTGATTGTGTCACCACCAATTACTGCAATTCCTTTATCTCCAAGTGGCTGCAAGATCACTGCCTAGCAAAATAAAGAATGAATAAGCGGTCCCGTATGAACCCTCTCTTTCCATGTAATACAGCATTACTTTTAATGAGACGAACATCTAAAAATTTTCCTCACAGGAAACTTCATAAAGATGCACAATTTTGAAAGAGCAAGAGAAGGTGATGGTACTAAGGACATTACCAACTGCAGAAACAGAAACACAGTGGAATTTTCATTAGGATGAATAGAAATCCATTTGGTAATCCCAATACATGAAAAGGATTTGCGATATCAGCATAAACAGTTTCACATGTTTATGAAGAATTAAATAACTCCTGCCTGCTTGTCTCACCCTCAAAACCAACTTAATTCCTTAAGTTAATATTCGGGCATGTAAAGGTGAAGAGTACGAGAACAAATGTGGTAAGGCATGGATAGTTAAACCCCAAACTAAACTTCATGAAGAGAAAAAGTATTTTTGAAACCGTAGACAACTAAGGAGACAAACAAAAGAATTCCACCGAATAGGACCTTTGTACGTTGGGAATAGAAATACTTTGTACAGATTCCACTCCTGAAAGTAATATTTTACAATTCAGAGAACAAATAGAATTCTTTCTTTGGGGTCAAGTCATGAAGAGTATACAGTAATTTCTCTCCCATTAAAACTCAAGTAGGTATCCCTGAAAAATGTTTTTATAGAGCTTGCATCGTAGAGGAATACAAATCCTTCAAAATTTTTAGTGAGGGTTTTGCTCAAACAGATCAAAACAAAAAACTTGAGAGAGAGAAGGCATTACATTTTTTTTTGTGCTGTTCATTTTTTATTTTTTCCGTTACAAGCCATTCTTGTTCTTTCCTTAACACGGTCCTTAAATATATTAGACTTATCTAAAAATGCAGTTTTCATGTTATGAGTTTGAAGAAAATAGTTTGTAAGTTTCTTATGGGTAACAAATCAAAACAAACAATAAATATACTACAGTTGCTGAAGAGATTATTTGCTCCAGCAGGATTTGGAAAGAATGTTATCTCATGTGGGGAAACTAAGTGTCAACACCTGTGTGTTTGAGGGCAAAAATGGCAGCTCAGACCTTCCTGGATAAAGAGAGAGATTGGCTAGGTAGCTTTCTGCATTGATGGCATTGAGAGACAGTAATATCGTTAAACTTGTGTATTCAAAAGGCCTCTTGATAAAATTATCATATGGTAAAACAATTGAAAATGAAGAACTTACGAGCTCCAGATTTTATTACACCGTTATAAAGTGAACCTTGCACCAGTTTAGCAGCATCCACAGCTACCGATCCCCCACCATCTGAAGATTCAGCTGCAATGCCTATCTGAAGGATACAATCCTGATCATATACAATAACAAGAGATCTGCAGCACGTCACATCTGAAAGAGATTCCCATGCCCTGAGAATAAGCAATGAAAACAACTTTCAAAACAAATTATGAGACAACTGATAAGAAAACAAACTCTTCAAAGGAAAAAATCTTTGCTGAAAATCAAGAAGATGATTGTAAGGAAAACATCTTTGATGAAAATCAGGAGATTTATAAGAAAAAAATCTTTCCTAAAAATCAGAAGGAGAATCGTCATAGTCAAATCATCAATTCATGCCTAAAATTGAGGACATAATAATTGAGAAACTTAATGCTCTACTGTTTCTTACTCTGTTTTCTTTTGTGTGTGTGTGTATGATTACATTTGAGTTTAAATCATAGAGAAAAAGAATAAAACACATAAAAGTTTAAAGAGTTCTTCATGATATTATAGCTGTCAAACGTGGAAGTATAAATAGCTCAGTTCCTCCATTCCTTATCAATTTGCTACAGAAAAACCCAAGCTTACATTATAATCACTCTATCAATGTGCCAGTTTGGTATCAGTCAAACTAGGCACAAACAACTATCTCATGTGGCAATCATGGAACATTTATGGTTAACAGATAACAAATCTTTCATTGAATAGGAAGATCTTTTGAAAAACATGTTGATGACCATCAATAACAGATCTAAATCTACGTAAAAGAACTCAAATTAATTTGTAATAATCTTGCAGCCATCAAAATATGATGGCTTTTGTCTAGTATGGTAACTAAACCTCCTTACCAACATTTAGTTAATTTGTGCTTGCTATTCAGGGATATGAACAGACTCTAGCTGCTCAAAAATAAAAAAATTGAAGAGTTATATTGAACACAACCAAGCAGTTTTTACCAACATGGGCATGGTAGAACCAGTAGAGGAAATTGAGGAGGCTTTAATCCTAAAGATTAAGGTTTCAGTCCACCTGGTTGTTACAACACCACAAGTTCAAGTAAAATTAGTCTCATGAAAGAGGGAACAAAAGAAGCTAGACAACATCAAGAAAAGGGTGATAAACCAATCTGCCAGATTTGTGGAAATATGGATCATGTTGCCCTTGACTATTGGTATAGGTTTGTCTATTCCTATCACTTAGAAGACCTACCACAGGCCTTGGCAGCTCTCACCTTGAATAAAAATGGTCATTCTCGTCACACAGACTCTAGAGCAATGACACACATCATAGGTGATGCAGGTATGTTGTCTATTTAAAACCATATGAATGGAATGATATCATTTGTAACACCCTGAAAACTTTCGCACTTAATTTGTAATGTGAATTCTTATTTATTCGAACCCTAAGGTTGTTTAAAACTCCTTAATATTTCGTATTTTTTTATTTTTCTGGATGGATATCATATTTTGTATTTTAATTTCATATTTTATTCGGTTAAATAATTTTCGAAATTAATTATTTTATTTTATCGTACGAAAATTATATTTTATTTATTATTTAAATAGATTTTAGGGAAAAAGAGAGAAAAAGGCAGGCTGGGGCCTCGTGCAGCACTCGCCGCACACTTGGGCACCGTGGGCTGCGTGCCACCACCAGCTTGGGCAGCACGCCGCCGTCGCTTGAGCGATGTGCCGTTGTTGTTTGGGTGACGTGCCTCCGGTTTTCACGCCGCCATCCCATCACATCGTCCATCCGTCAGTCACATCCGTCTGTCGTCACATCTCACGTTTCCCATTGACTTTCTCTTTCCTCACCAAGTTTCGCCACTTGACGCAAATACAACGATTCCCATTTTCTATAAATAAGGACACTCCCTTCACCATTTCCTCATCAGTTCTATTTCTATTCTTCTATCATCCAAGAACTTTAGGAAAAGAGAGAGTGATCTAGAGAGAGGAGGAGAGAAGAGGAAGAAAAGGCATAGGAAAATATCGAGATTTCAGTAAACAATTTATTATTTACTTCTAACATACTAAGGAGTATTTTTAGACAAAATTAACAAAGTTAAACTAAATATTTGCATGATTATTTTATATGTTTCAGTGAAATGATTTATGTTGTTAATTACTTGTTTTATGAACATATGTGAACTAATTATTTTGCATGTGAAACTTAAATGATTTAATACTTGAGGTAAATATTAATATGTGATGCAATTGACGGTGAAAAAAAATGATTAACTATGAAACGATGTATAGATATGAGAAATAAGTATTGGTTTTAACATGCATAATTTACGAAGTGTTTCGTTAGTCTTTTTATCTCTGAGAGATTTCTGTTTCTCTCTCTATTTGATCTGAAAATACGTGAGACAACTGCTTCCTGTGGACGACGGCTTACCATCTAACGAAAGTGGTGACGCGATATGATTGTAGGGGTCACCTTTGGCGAAGTATGACCGCGGCCATAGTTAACATGTAGGACCACTGTGATTGGCACGGCATGGTCATAAATCGTGTCATAATTTGACAAGCCATAAATGTGTTGTTGGTTTGATAAGTTGCAAATTGTTATTATAAATGAAATGAATTAGTCATTTCACATAAATAGTCGGGAATCCGTATTACCTTTAGTAGATAGAAGTCGGAACGATTTCGCGTGAAGAATAAAATGAAAAATAGTGCATATCATGATTTATTTGATTTTCTCTATTTTCAGCATAATTGATTTAATTGATATGATATAACTATGATATGATGGTTATGATATTTTCTTTAATAAATTAAATTATTTTCATAATTAATAAAGAACTCTGACATGACTCTTGATGATAAATAATAATGTTGTTTTTAATTACTCCTAAATCTTATAATATTATTTAAACACTGTTTTTCTTACTGAGTATATGTAACTCACCCATTTCCATACTTCCCTTCAGATGAGGAAGATAGTGAGGAACCGATTGCTGACCTACCTCTTGAAGTATTTGAGAATCCCGTAGATTCATAAACTTTTATAAGTGCATGATTTGTCCCGCACTCTAATGAATCTATTTACATAATGATAGAAGTGACCATCTTTTATTTTGTTATTTTGTATTTTGTCGACACTTCTGACATCAAATATATATATAATTGGGAATTTATATATTTTGTAAGGGTTTTGAAACTTTATTGTTCCGCTGCATATATTTAACTATTATGCACTCGTAATCTGTTTTTGTATTTTACACCCTTATACCTTAATTAATATTTGGAATGTCACATCATTTATGTGGATAATGGAAACAAACTTGATTAACACATACAGGAAATGCATGTACTGGACAATTGAATTTAGAAGATATTCTTGTTCCTGAACTGAAAAAGAACTTGGTTTAAGTAAAATTACTGAAGATAACTTTTGCACTGTTGAATTCTAACAATATAACTTTGTTATTAAGGATGGAAACTAGAGAACAGTCAGGAAAGGGCATAATTAAAGACAACTCTATGCTTTGAATTCAAATTTTCAAGAAGCTTTATCAACAATAAAAGTTGGCAGCTCGTCCTTTGTGGTACCCCACCACTTTGGACACCCAAGTGCAAAGATTTTGTCCTTGTTAAAAGGAAAGAAAGTCATTGATGGCACTACATGGCAAAATGAGTCATCCATTTGTGCTAGTTGCCAATCTAGAAAGAATTGTAAACACCTTTCGACTTGACTAATAATATTTTCTAATGATCCTTTACAAAAATTGCACTGTGACTTTACCAACTTCCATTGCCTCAAAACAAACTTTTCGGTTTTATGCTATCTTTATAGATGACTTTTAAGGTTCACTTGGTCGTACCCTTTAAGAAAAAAATTTTGATTTTTACTCTTGCTCCATAAACTTCCAGAGACTTGTAGAAAATCAATTTGATAGGAAAATCAAAATGTTTCAATGTGGTGGAGGTAAAGAATTTAACTCCTTTGATTTCCTTAATCATATTGGTAATTTTGTAGTTATAAATTTCATGCCCTTAAACACATAATAAAATAGAGTGATTGAGGGTGATGCAGAACCCAGAATCAACCAATGTAATCAAAAGCCCCAACATACAATTTAGCACCAAACTTAATCCTTAAACAAATCTTTCTTATTTAATTTACAATCAACCTGTGATTGAGGTCTAAGGTAATTAATAAAATATCACGAGATTATCTCAATAAGTAGAACAAATTCTCCACTCAACAACATGGTTGATGATTTCTGTCAAAGAACACTCACAATAGCCGAATGTTAAAGCAAAAGAAACTTGTAATTTTATTGATTTAAATTGACGAGTTTACAACCAAATGAGCAAGACCTTTGTATAGGCATAAACTTTACTAATCTTATTAGAATTCGGAAATTAAATCCTAAGAAAACTCTAATTACATTCTTATTTAGAATTCTAATAAAAAATTAAATTAAAAACTCATAAATCAAAGTGAAGTAAAACTCTTTCTTGAACTTTGGTTGACTTAATCTTAGAGAATTCTTCTTGGATTTGGACTCTATTATTTTACTGATTTTTAGTGTTGAAGATAACTTAAGACGCAATCAAGTTGAGGTAGACAAGAACTCTTTTTCTTTGAGAAAATCAAGAACAATCGGCCATGAGGAGAAAATCAATGAGAACATCTAAGAGAAAATTTAGGAGAAAATCTAAGATTCTTTTACATACTTTTCCACCTCCTTTTGGGTCAGAAAACTGACCTAGGACTCTTGAAAGAAGGGTTGGACGGCTTCCATGTTTGTACAGATGAAAAACCCGAGAATCATTGATGGTGAAAATTCTTTTGGAGGTTGCTTATGATTAGAAAAATTAGGAGAAAATTTCTCTTGAGTGAGAAAATTTTTCATGTGCAAATCGAAACTGTCCATAATTATAAAGACTCCTTAATGATGAGTGGCTGAGAGTCCTTGAGCTGTAAAACTCTTTAGGGGCCAGTTTTGCCCTTATTGTAGGACAAGTTCTTGCTTGTCTCTTCTCTTGACTTGATGGGCTCGGCTTTCCCCTTTCAAGGCCTTTAAAGTTTGGCCCAAGTCCATCTTGACTCATGTCCAAGTCTTATTTTTCTTGTGGGACTTTATGTGAGGGCGATTTAGGATCCAAACTGCAAGGATCAAGTGTTGAACAACCTTACCCGAGACTTGGATGAATGGAATGATCTCTTGAATATTCCATGCCATCTAGGATCACATCAGAGAGATAGCATATGCACATTATTGACACAAGGTTTAACCATGTTATTTCATGACAATCTACCATTCTTCCTATGAATTGACGTTTTCTTGCAGCTGCCTATTTAATTAACAAGCTGCCAAGATTCTTCAGTTTTACACAACCAGGCCCTATATTCTAAACTATATCACAAGGAACCGGATTATACAAGCTTGCAAGTGTAAGGATGCTTATGCTTTCCTTCTCTAAGACATCAAGGAGCAAACAAATTTGTTAAAAAAACTTATTAATATGTGTTCATTGGTTACAGCCTAATTCATGAGGGATATCTGTGCTATGAGCCTCAGCCAAAGAGAGTTTACACATCAAGATACGTTGTCTTTGATTAAGGTAAATTTCTCTACAATCCATCTCTCCATGAATCAACCCCTATACTACTGGAGCTTGCTGAATTCTCTAACCTATGATGAATTCTAAAATCACCCATGAAACTGATGATACAATAGTACAATAAAAAACACAGTCAGCAATACAACTATTTATTGTGAATAATAACATTTTTTTTGATGAAAGCAACGGTAAATGTCTTGCAATCTTGACAGTCTAGCCTTTGCATCTGATAATGGAGTATTTTCTAATATTAAAGTACCTCAAGAAGAAGAACCATTAGTCACAACGGAACCAACAGTGTGCAAGTCGTGAAATTGCATGAAACATGCCTGATCATATTGTTGATACCAATATCGATGATAATGTAGCAACACTTACGTTCATCTTCAACGCAATAGCCAATATCCAAAGACATTTGCAGTCTTAAAAATGCTATCTATAGCAGGTGACATACTTGTTGAACCTACAAATCACAATATTGCATTAAAGGATACCCAGAGGGTAGTGGCCATGGAAGAGGAATTAAAGGCTCTTCATTCAAACCAGACCTGGTCAGTAATTTTCGTAACCACGAAATGTGAATGTTGTCAATCAAATGAATTTATCATATTAAGCAACATAAGAATGACTCTGTTGGAAGATTCAAGGCTTGCCTTATTGCCCATGGTTTACCCAAGTTTTAGGTATTGATTTCAATAAAGGTTACAGCACAGTCATTCATCACACTATAATTCGCCTTGTCATAGCCCTTCCACTTTGCTAAGCTGGTGCATGAGACAACTTGATGTGAAGAACTTTTTTCTTTTTGCATGGAAATCTCAAGGAGACTGTGTATATGGAGCAACCTCCGGGTTTTTTAGATCTACACAAACCTGACTAGGTATGCCTTCTTCACAAGTCTATTTATGACTTAAAACAAGCTCCTCGAATTTGGTTTAATCGCTTATCTTGATTTCTTCTCCACCTTGGGTTCTATAGAAGCAAGCAGATTCTTCCTTATCTCTTTACCGCCACAACCAGTACATACTATTTTTATTTATGTATATGACATACGGTGATTGAACACAATGACTTTTTCATGCCTCACCTAATTCATCAATTGAGCTCAGAATTCGCTTATGGCATCTTGAGTCTCTAACTTTCTTTTAGGTGTTGAAGTGAAACACTTTATTGGAGGAGTTATTCTCTCTCAAGGCAAGTATATTAAGGATCTACTTAACTGCATTGGTATGGATGATTGTGCTCCTAATGCCACTCCTACGGTCCTCAACGACAAGTCCCACGACTCAAACACAAACTTGTAAGATGCAACTTATTGTAGAAGTATCGTTGGCACTCTTCAATACCTCACATTCACTCAACTAAACATTCAATATGCAGTAAATAAAGTTTGTCAATCTTTGTCAATCTTTCATCACTCCAACAGAATTACATCTCAGAGCAGTCAAGCAAATTCTTTGCTATTTTAAAGGGACAGAAGACTATGGCTTACAGTTTATATCTCTAAGTTCTCTCTCCTTATATGCTTCTTCAGATGCCGACATGGGCAGGATCCTCTCTTAAATGATGAAGCACAATCAGTTATTGTATCCTTTTAGGTGCAAACTCTGTCTCATGGTATTCTAAATAGCAACTATCTTTGCTTAATTGAGCTCAGAAGTAGAATACAGGTTCATGGCTTCCATCACCATTGAAATAGTCTGGCTCTCATTCTTGTTACACAACATTGGCATTACTTTATCTCATCATCATCAATTATTTAGCAAAAATCTTAGTGCTCTGCACATGTCCAAATCCACACTCTTTCACACTCTGACAAAGCATATTGAAGTAGACTACTATTTTGTCCAAAAAAAAGGTAGCCATGGGTAATATCATTACAAGATTTGTGCCATCTTCACATCAGATAGCAGACATCCTAATCAAGCCTTAGCCAAGGGCATCATTTCTTTTCCTTTGCAGCAAGATGAGACTTCATTTGCATTTAGTCTCCACCTTGAGGAGGGCTGATAAGGTAACAGACTATAAACGAAATTTTTTTTGCTAAAAATCAAGAAGAGGAGTTAAGGAAAAAATGCTTAATGAAATCAGGATAAGGATTAAGGAAAAAATCTTTACTAAAAATCAGAAGGAGAATCGTCAAAGTCAAATCACCAACTCGTGCTTAAAATCAAGGACGTAATAATTCAGAAATTAATGCTCTTACTATTTCTTACCCTGTCTCCTTGTATATATGTGTGTAGTGCATTTGAATTCAAATCATAGAGAAAAAGAATAAAACATTTATCGAATTCAACAACTCCATTGCTGGATTACTCCTCAAATGATTTTCACCAACTACTTTCTTTCACATGGACAAGTAAAATGGACAGGACAGGGAATTGTGCTGTCAACGGAACACCTTATGCCCAACTAGTTGTATTCTTTTCTATTCAGGGGTGTTAACAATTGCCTAAAAAAGGGGGCATCTTAGAACAAATTTAAAAAGGTCCAGAAATGACTATTAATCAGAAAAACAATTACCATAATAACTCGGAAGCTACGTAAGAAGGAACATGAGAACGTATCATCTGACATTCCACTCCTTGAGGGTTCACCTGAAATCAAATCAAGAATTACATATAATATTTTTCCATATCCAGAAAAAGTGTAATAAACTAATAAACTGGTCTCTTACTTAATCCAAGTCTATAATGTTAATCATCCATGTGACAGGTAGCGAAATAGAGAAGCAATTGTGGCTCTCACCGGAGTCATAATCTTTGGCCGGATTGACAACCACACTAAACCAGTCAATATATTGGTCACGGCCAAACCAAGTGCTAAGAGATCCGCTCTAGATTGTGAACTGCAGAGCAAGAAAACTCGGTATTAAATCCTCATAAATTTTTTGATCAGCAAAGAAAAAAGAAATAATTCCAACGAGTCTCTTGATCATATTGCAGGGACACCAAAACAAATAGCAAAACATATTTTAGCTCGCATAACCAAAAATCTTTAAGAGTTGAACAAGTAAAGGCTATGCAAGGCAAATCATTAATTTCAAGATATCATAGCAGTCTCAAAAATTGTCCGGCATGCAATTAGTTTAAGTTAGAAAACCGCCATTAGAAGCAATTTTTACAGACAAATAAAGCACAAAGGATAAGAACGTACAAAGTAACGATTGCCACACATCATTGTCAATAAAATTTGCAATTGAGCGGACAATGTCATAAAGATAATCGACATCAAGAGCAAATCCAATCAGGATGAGCATAGAGACAGCATTGTGCCCAAAAATAGGGAAATAAGAGAGAAGAAGAATAGCAACGGATTACCTGCTGGCGTCGGCAACAGGAGCAATACCAGAAAGGGTGCGGTTGAAGAGAACAGCCAAGAGAGAGAAACCTCCAACGTAGATTGGCAAACTCCGAACAGTGTCGTCGTTGTTGGAGACCCAATCGGCCACCAAATTCTGGCTCGGCTTTGGTCCTCTGTAACCCCACTTTTTCTATAATTCCATAACAAAAATAGCTTTAAGAAGAAGAAGAAGAAGAAGAGGAGGAGGAGGAGGAAACTGGACAGGTGAAAATTACTGCGATTTGGGGATAAAGAAGACAGAAGAAGAATGGAGCGGAGCACCTGTGAATTAGAAGAAGCTGTTATAAAGCGCGGGAAAATAACGGAAGGAGGAGGGCGTCGATGGCGTTTGAGGTTCCATGGAAGAGCAGTGTGGAGGATAATACCCGCTTCCATCGCAAATCATAAATGACATAAGCAATCTAAAATGAAAATATATTAATAAAGAAATGGGTATATTGGTGGATTAAGATGCAATTTACAGTGCCCCCCATCATGGGCTTGATACATCTGTTGTACTTATTGGGTCGGAGATCTTCAATTTTATTTTTTTCTCTTTATTATTAATTAACTTATATAAATTTGTAAAATAAATATATTATACATTTAAGAGAAAATCTAAAGAAAAACAATTTCAATTATTTAAAAAATTTACACATATTTTCAAACAAAAATGACTCTTACATGTTTTATCGTTTCATTTGTCCAGAATGCTATTTATTCATTGATATTTTTTATTTACTTTAAATATATAATTTTATTTCATTTTTTAACAAAAAATTAAAGTAATTGTATCAGAAGACTTTGAAATATAAATTAAAAAAAATTATTTTAACTAATTAACTAGAATAATATAATAATTATTTATTTAAAATTATTTTTTAAATTAATTTTTGAAGTATTCAAATACTTTTTAATTATTTTATATTAAAACTAAAAATATAAAAAATAGATGAAAAATATTAAAAATTAAATTATAACCAAAAAAAAATATTAGATATCACTTTATAATAAATATCAAATTTTATATATTATATTTAATAATTTGCTCTTTAGATTTAGTCCTTTTTTAAAATTGAAATATTTGATGGATAGAGCGATAATTATATGAATTTTAATAATTTAAATCTAAATAATCAACTAAAAATCAAAGCAAAAATACAATTAAGATTCTGTTTTTGTGGTCAAGGATTCTATAAAGTCAGAAAGGAATTTGTTCATATTATGTGGAAAAAAAAAACATATAATATATATATATACACACACGCATATATGGTACTGGATGAGATTTTCACATCTTCATCAGTTCCAATCGCAAGTCAAACTAGTCTATTTTCACTCGCGTTGTCTCCGTTGACTAATCGAATTATCATAATTTCTTATTTTGCCACTTCTGAGAAATATACATTTTATTTCCCAAGAGAATATATCTAATTTTTTTATTTACTTCCATGTATGACTTCACGATATTGTATTATCATGCGTGCATGACACCTTTTTTCTTAAAAAAAAAATATATAGGAATTTTTTATATGCTAGATTTTGTTAGAAAGTTTAATTGTTTTGTACATAAAGAAATAGGCTTTCTTTTAGGACAAATATATATTCTATATTTCATTTTATTTTTATATTTTAACAATGTAATACATAACATATTATATTTTATGCATATTTTAATGAATAATTAATTAGTTTGTTTATATATAAATGTCATAACAATAATATATATTCTCAATATCAGAAAGATAAATAACTTAAATTGGATATAAAAGTATAATTAAATTAAAATAATATTAGTTAAAATATATTTATTGGAAGATTTGACATGTTGAGCACAGGAATGACCGATTGAGTAAAGATGCTTGGGAATTGTGCATATATGCTGCATGTGTATGTATGTGTGCATTAATGCAAATGGTGTCCGATTAAAGTTTTCGTCCTCCAAAACCCTTGTATCCTTTCCTTTTAGATTATTTTGTAGTATCTATTTATATTTTATGTAATTCTTTTATCAAGATTAAGTGTAGGTAATCTATTATGGTATTTAGAGCCAACAATAAAGAATAAAAACTCCAAGTCAAACACGATTTAAAATCTAAATTTGTCAAGTAAAGTGGTTCACGATCCTTCGCATTTAAATAGTCTATGCATACAAAGTAGTATTAGGAAAGAGTTTGAGATGCAGGACTTCTACTTGAAGAAAAAGATTGTATACCACAGAAGTTGTGTTAAGACTCCCAACAGAATGATAGAGTTAAAAAGAAACATTAACATATTATTAACATTGTCAGAGTATCGAAGTTTCAAAATGAGCTTGAGTTGAAATACTGAAGTGATCTTGTCCTAATTGTAATGTAATGGCTCGTAAACTTGAAAGAAAATAGATTATGAATTGAATACGGAAGCGAAATAAATAGTTAGAGTTTACACTCTTTACATAATAATTCAAATTACTCAATAGGATTATGAGAATGATCATTTTAGAAAAAATAACAAAAATCAAAGAAATAAATAGAAAATAAACAACTGGACATTACTACTCGCAACCCTCTTGTGGATCGGACTCTGAATCTTAGTCATCTTGATATGAAATGGTTAATGAAAAAGTTAGTTACACTAGCCCAATAAGAATATCACACTACTCACCGACACATAAATGAAGGTTGGTAAAAATTATGAAAATAATTAATAGAGCTCTTAATTCAAGTAAATTCGTTTATCATAATTAAAATCATTTACCGCATACTTAGTGTAACGAGATTTTTAAAACCAACTTATAGAGTCAAAAACATAAACAATATTATAATCTCATATGCAATCAGTCGGCAACAATAACTTTCTATTTTATCAGTCTACTGGTATCTATGGAGGTCCATAGGGATGTCCTCACTACACGTGAACTATTTTTTTAAACATTTTTAATTAACGGATCGTCCCCATACCCCGTTCGGTATGAGCACGAAAATATAATCCCTCAATACCCTGTCTGGTATGAGGGTGAAATGGTTCATCCCATTATCCCGTCCGATATGAATGCCAAAATACTAATCTTCAATACCCCATCTGGTATGAGATAATGTCTACAATATAATTCTCTATGTACTAGGTCCGTTCATCATCTCCTAGAATATCTAGTAAGGCTATCGTTTATCTATTTACTTAATCAAACAATTTTTCGTTTACCTTTAATTTCCACTTTTCTAATTTAACTGTAATTACATAAAATAAGCAATACATGCATCAAGAAAACACAATCGCATCATCATACCAATTCTAGTGGATTATCATGCATTCAAAACTGTAAAATCAACCAATCAGCTGAACACGACAAATAGTAATAAATAACCAGTTCCGCCTCCATTAGTAACTTATAATTAATTACGAATATTTTCTAAGCTAGACAAAATACTGTATTATTATTAATTAAACTTTAATTTCATAACAGGGAATAAGGTGAAGAATTTTATTTCGAATTGGTGTCCGAACGCTAAACTTTTGGCTGCAGCTATTGGCAGTCTCTAGGTTCCTTAAATTTTCCTTCGGGGATTAAAACACGCTCCAAGTACCTAGC